TTAAGAACATACCTAGTAGTTGCAGGGCGAATGATTTCTTTCTTTCCATGATCCCTAATGAAAGAATGATTTTCACCTCCATGCGGTCGAATGATTTTCACCTCCATGCGGGTAACACCTCCCTTCACCACTTTATCGCAAAAATTACATTTCAAATAAATATAGCTCTTCTCTCCGCCCCCAAACTCAACTTATACACTATATTTCCAAGAAGGCTCCCTCTGCAATGACGAAGATCCCTTTTCCTTGCCTCTAACTATGATCCCTAATGAAAGAATCCAAAATCACACAAAATAATTCAAAAAATCTGAAATCCTAGAGTTTCTTTCACTTCAAAAATCTAACCAAAAACTAAAAAAAATATGAAAAATTGTTTGTGGACTTCTCCTACAAGGCGGCCGGACACTTCAAGTTCGTCGGAGAGAGGCGGCGCCGGCGGGAAGGGTGGCCGACCGTGCGGGATCCTTCTTTCGCGAACAGGAGCTTGCGGACGGAGCGTTATCGGGAAAAGCCTGGGCGAACGGGTGCAGGGAAAAAAATGAGTCATTTTAAGTAGGTGGGGCCATTTGGATGAGACGTATACGCCTCACCCATAATTGCGCAATTGAGGTGCGCCTCACACAGGGTGAGGCGTACGCCTCTTCCAGGCTCCAAATTGCATGCGCCTCGAGGTGCCTTTGGGAAGAATTGCGCAGCGGCGCGCCTCTTGTTGCGCAATTTTAAACAGTGGCACGCACTATTTTTTAAGATGGTATAAATTTCAAATTATAAATTATAATTAATTTTTTTAAGATTTGTACATTAATATCATAAATAATTGTTAATTAATTAAAAATAAAATTAAAAAAATATCAAAAACTTCAAAGGATTTAGTTTTTTTGTAGGATTTTAAGTTATCTTTTTTGTTTTTTTGGCGGATTTAGGCTAAATTTTGTTTAAATCCTGCTCAAATCTTAATACAAGTTTATGTAGGGTTTAAAGCTATCATTTTTACTATTTTGCAGTATATTTATGCTTAAATTTAGCTCTAATCAACATGTTGTTTGTTATTTAATGGTATTTAATATTACGAAATATATATTTTAATTATTTTATATTGTGTCTTGTTTAAATTATCGTGTGCCACGTTGTGCGCTATGCGCCATGGCTCCATGCGAAACTATGCGCTGTGCTGCTTCATTCGTCGTTGAGTATGAGAAAGACTCTGATGTAATGCAACATTTAAACGTGATAGCCTCTGACATTATTTTTTTTTCTTTTCATAGGTGTTTTGCTCATAGATTAAAAAGGCGTTTGAGGCGTACGCCTCGAGGCGGAGGTCGGGCGAACTGAGGCTTAAGCCTCAAACGCTCGGGCGAGGCTTACGCCTTTTTCCACGGAGGCGTACGCCTCACCGCGTGAGGCGTCGAGGCGCATCGAGGCAGCACCTCGAAAGTGAGAAAGTTACCTTCACAGTCAGCGAGCTCCTGTTGTTTCTTCCGATCAAAATGTTGTAGCTTACGATCCGACAGGAAAGGGAAAGTCATCGAAGGAGCAAAGTCGAACAGCCACGAAGGAGCTAAAGAAGCGACGCGTGCAATCTCTACACCTCATGTGAAGAAACGAAGCCGAACAGCAAGGACGAAAAGAGAAGATGAAAGGCAAACCGTAGACGCAACTAAGTTATTATTGATTAACTTAGTTAATATAATTTAAAATATTAATAATTAAACAAATTAATTAAATAATTAATAATATAATTAGTGCATGAATTAATTATCTATTTTAACTTAATTGAATAATTAGTATTATAATTATTAATTAAAGTTTAATATAAGTCTTTTTAGGTCTACCCCTACCTTTCTTAATATAAGTCAAATCTAATACCTCTACTCTCTTAACTGGGTCGTCGGAAGGCCGCCTTTTTATGTGACCAAACCATCTAAGGCGACTTTCTCTAATCTTATCTTCTATTGGAGCTACTCCAACCTTTTCACGTATATGCTCATTTCGTATCCTATCTCTAAGGGTAAAGCCACTCATCCACCTGAGCATCCTCATCTCTGTCACACTTAACTTAGTATTATGCTTCTCTTTTAATGGCCAACATTCGGCACCATAAAGCATTGCAGGCCTCACTACCATCTTATAGAATTTTCCCTTAAGTTTGAGGGGTACATTTCTATCACATAACAAGCCCGATGCATTCCTCCACTTCAACCATCCAACTTGAATTCTGTTGATAATATCCCCATCTATTTCACCATCACTTTGAACAATTGATCCAAGATATCTAAAACGTGTACTCTTATTAATGACTTGATCGCCCAAAGTCACAATCCCCTCACTAGGTCTATTACTACTAAAATTACACTCCATATATTCCGTTTTAGATCTACTCAAGCGAAAACCTTTAGACTCTAAGGTTGACCTCCATAATTCAAGTTTACCTTCAACTCCCTCTCTAGTCTTATCAACAAGAAGAATATCATCAGCAAAAAGCATACACCAAGGTACATCCTCTTGCAAATGTCTAGTGAGAACATCCATGACTAAAGTAAAAAGATATGGGCTTAAGGCTGATCCTTGATGTAACCCAACTGAAATAGGGAAATACTTGGTCAATCCACCTTGTGTTTGAACACAAGTAATAGCTCCTGCATACATATCTTTAATGATTTGAATATAAGCATTATTGACTCATTTCTTTTCAAGAACTCTAGATAACACTTCTCTTGGAACTTTATCATATGCTTTTTCTAAATCAATAAATATCATATGTAGATCATACTTATTTTCTCTATATTTCTCTATCAAACCTCTTAATAAATGTATGGCTTCCATAGTCGACCTACCCGGCATGAATCCAAATTGATTTTAAGAAACATCAGTATCACGCCGCAACCTATGCTCCATAACTCGCTCCCATAGTTTTAAAGTATGACACATTAACTTAATACCTCTATAATTCGCACAATCTTGTGCATCACCTTTATTCTTAAAAATAGGAATTAACACACTCATTCTCCACTCATCTGGCATCTTTTTAGTCTTCAAAATAGTTTTAAAAAATTTATTAAGCCATGAAATTCCTTCATCTCCTAAGCATTTCCACACCTCTATTGGAATATCATCAGGTCCAACAGCTTCTCCACCCTTCATTTTCTTTAAAGCCTTTCTAACTTCAGTTTTACTAATACGCCGATAAAAATAGAAATCTTTATTTTCATTTAGGGTGCTAAGGTCACTATATTCAATCTTACTTTTACAATCTTCATTAAAAAGTTTAACAAATATATCATCCACCTTTGTTGAATATCATTTTCTAAGAAAAATATTTTTTGATCTTCATCCTTAATACACTTCACTTGAACTAAATCCTTACTACTCCTATCTCTTTGTTTGACTAACTTATACATATGTCTTTCTCCCTCTTTAGTATCTAATCTATTATATAAATCACTAAAAGATAATGTCTTTGCATCACATATTGCTTTCTTAGCATCCTTACGAGCTACTTTATATATTTCCAAATTATCAGAATTTTTAAAATTAAATTAATTTTTATAACAAAATTTTTTATTTTTAATCTTTTCTTGCACATTTGAATTCCAGCACCAACTGTTTTTACTATTAGGAGCTTTTCCTTTTGATACTCCAAAGGCATCTTTTGCAATATTCTTAATATCACTAGCCACTTTTTCCCACATAACATTAGCATCCTCATGCACAGACAAAATCTTAAGATCTAAAATCTTATTATCAAAAATATTTTTGTTAATATTCTTTAAATGCACCCATTTAATCCTAGAAAATCGTTTTACTTTATTTTTTTATTTTAACCCCATTTATCTTAAAGTCCAAAACTAATAATTGATGTTTGGTACATAAATTTTCACTCGGAATAACTTTACAATCTTTGTAATCTAAACGATTTAATTTTCTAATAAGAAAATAGCCAATCTGGTTGTACTATATCCATTTTTATAAGTGATGAGATGCTCATTCCTTTTCTTAAATAAAATATTACTAATTGAAAAATCATAAGCTAAACAAAAATCCAATATGGTCTTGCCACCTTAATTCGTCGTTCCAAATTCATAGCCACCATGAATGCTTTTAAAATCATCTACCTCTCTACCAACATGTCCATTTAAATCTCCTCCAATAAAAACTCATTCTTCAAGAGGTATCTTTTATATTAATTCTTCTAAGTCATTCCAAAAATTTAATTTAGAACTCATATCCAAACCTACTTGAGGAGCATAAGCACTTATAATATTAACAATGTTATCATCAACAACAATCTTTGAAGCTATAATTCTATCTCTAATCCTATTAATTTTTATAACATTATCCTTTAAACTCTTATATATAATAACACCTACACCATTTCTAGTACGACTCCTACCTGAATACCAAAGTTTAAATCATAAACTATCAATTTCCTTAGCCTTCTTTCCAATCCATTTAGTTTCCTGAATGCACAAAATATTTAACTTCCTATGAATCATAATATATATTAATTCCATTAATTTTCCTGTAAGAGAACCAATATTCCAAGTTCCTATCCTAATTTTAGTTTCATGAACTAGCTTCGTTGCCCACGTCCGTCCTTGATGTGAGAATCCTTGCCTATTTAGCACTGCACCCGGGCGCCGGTGCAGCGGCCCTTGCACACTTGTCACTGTATTTAGGTCATACAGCGCGTCGCTTCCAGGTGACGCCCTATCATTAACACAATTTCTTAAATGATTCATGTCATTATTGTTCGACAAGTTTTACGCATGCTGTCGACTACTTAATGCAACCCTCCACTTTTCTCATCCAGAACTTGGGAACAACTTTTTTTAAAGTATTAAATAATTTCGTATGATTTTGTGATTCAGTCTAATTTCATGGTTCTTATATGGTACAAAAACATTGAAATAGATATTAATTTTGCAAATACTTTTTATATTGTTCACCTGTAATTCTGTAAATGATGAATGATGTTTGCTTTAACATGATTGGTTTCTCAGATGGGTGGTAAACCACTACAAATGGATTGTTTGGAAGCTTGCATGCCTAGAAAGATGCTATCCATGTGAAGCCATTGGCAAGTTTTTGACAGTTTCTAACGTGCTCGAGGAATTGAAATACAGGCATAGAGAATTGGATTTTGAGTTTTATTTTTTGTTTGTTACCTTGGAGACTTTATACATGGTAAAGATTCTAAGCGTATTTTACATTTCAGATATGAAAGAGAAGTTAATTATGGACATAGATCAGCACTGAGAAAAATCCTTGATGGTGATGTGTCACCTTCATCTATGATGATTCTCTGTGTTTCGGCAATCCGTTCCCATTCAGGTCTAAGGACCGATGAAGTGCTAGGCATATCCGATTTACATGAATATGGAAACAAGGTTAATGGTGTTGGCTGTAAGGATGCCGTGAAGATAGAACTAACTGACGGGTGGTATGTACTCCAAGTTATAGAATGTGATGGATAAGTTAAATTCTTGAGTTTGGATGCTTTCTTGGCAGGTACTCACTGGATACCACATTAGATGGATATCTATCGAAACTACTGCTGGCTGGAAAATTGTTTGTAGGGCAGAAAATTAGAGTATGATCTCTCCCCCCCACCCCTCACTCTGATTGTTAAATTATTTACAAATTTGGAAATTGGTTATTCGTGCTGCCACAATTTATTTTATTTTCAGGTTTGCGGAGCTACTTTATGTGGTTGGGTTGAGCCTATTTCACCCCTTGAGGTTCACTTCTCTTGTTAATGCAATTCAAAAACAGAATTGGATCTATAGGTCTAGCATAATGATTTCTTCTTGTTTCCAGGCATCTAACTCGGTCAGTTTAGTTCTGCATATCAATGGGGCATACCGAGCACACTGGGCTGACTCATTAGGATTCTGTACTTGCCTTCAGATATTGTACTTTATATTCATTATTTGGCTATATATGTTTCCTTCATATCCGTTATTGTCTCTCGTATAAACTTTGCTTTTAGGTAAAGGCATTGGAGCTCCATTGGCTTTTAGGTGCATTAAAGGTGGTGGAGGTAAAGTTCCTAGGACATTGGTTGGCATTATGCGACTTTATCCCATATTGTACAAGGAGAGGTGAACTAATTGTTGTTCTTTCTAGTTATTCTCAAAGCAACTAACAAATTATCAAATTGAAAAGTATTTCATTGGTCAGGTTACCGGATGGTGGCTCTATTGTGAGATCAGAAAATTTGGAAAAGAAAATACTTCAACTTAACAGTCGAAGGTAATTTGCTTCTGGATTTGACTGACCGTAATACATTTAAATTCATAAAATTTGAATTGTTGGCATAAGACTAATGCTGATAAGGATGATGATTAGTTTGTATTAAATATAGAAGAGGACAAACATATTATTTCTTATTTTAGATTTTTTTCCTACTGTTTATTACAGGACATGTCATTGAATCTAGTTCCTATTAATTGGACAATTGCCATTTTAATTGAAATGGATATGTAAGACATTTTGTATATCTCTACGTAATCTTAGAGAGCTAGTTTGGCTCATATTATTGTGATGTCAAATGTTAAATTATCCAGAAGTTTATGTACATTCCAACTTTTATTCAGACATCCGTTTGTTCTTTAACCGAATCATGAAAGATTGTTTATTTCTTCTGAATGCATATGAAATCACATGTGGCTGAGGATTAGTAATCCTTATGGCAGGTAAAATATTGGCACTTCCATATAATATAAGATATTAAAGCATGGAATGACTATAATTTAGAAAATATTACTTTGAGCAAGTTGTTGGTGTGGCATAGGATTGTGTTAGACATCAATATATTCTACTGGATCTTAAAACTGTACAATCCAATTGTGAAGCCTGGGCAACAAACACGGCAAACCAACCTACAAGAATTAAAGAAGAAGAAGAAACCACAATATTCTACATGTGACGCTACAACAATAATATATCTTGAACAAATGAAATAATTTAACCCAATTGGTTTATTTCTTTTATTTTGTTTAGGTAGATCAGTTTTATGTTGAAGACTGTTTACCCAAGTAGTTTAAATTCCTTTCCTATTGTAATGAAAGGTTTATGGTTTCTCTGTCTCTAGTCTATCTTATTTCCCTTCTTCCTTAAGTAGTTCACACCTACTCAAAAGGTGTCTATTCCTTGATGTAGATCAAGAAGCATAACAAATAATGCTCTCGTTGCACTAACATGAATCCTCCACAAGAAGCTTTTTCCCTGCGGTTCTTTCCTTCATCCACACCGTGCAGCCATCAAAATTCCATTCATCCGGCCAGCCAGATTTATTCAAATCCTGCAGTTTTTGTTGTCGTCCCTCATCTTCTTTCAGCCAGATAAACCAACCGCAAAAAAATCTGCCATAATCTAGAAATTCCTGAATTCTGCGGTTTTCAGCTTCTGCACCTCCAAGAACATCAAGAACAGCAACTTACAATCAGCGTCCTCACCGTGCAGTCAGCCTCCCAACTCATTTCCACGGTGCATTCAGCCATCCCCACGCATCAAGAAGTCAGCAGCTCTGTTGCATTCAGCCTTGCAATTATCAAGCTGTTCTTTCCAGCAGCAAACATCCCTTCTTTTCAGCCTGCATTCAGCCAACAGCAGCCATTTCTTCCAGCAATTTTCTTCAGCCAACAGCACCAGAATTCAACCAGTTTTTTTTTTTCCTTCAGCCGTCTTCCTTCACCCAACACCAGCAGCAGCCATCTGTTCTTCCGCATCAGGCCACCACCGCACCCTTCCAGTTCTACCTTCCTCTTCCACCCATTCAGGAAACACTAGACCTGCTCTCCACCATCAGGGACTTGATTCTTCAATTCAAGAACTATTTCTTGGCTCGGCTCACGCTTCATCCAGCAACCTGTACCCTTTTAATTGGAAGTTTTGTACAGTTTCAGCAAGCAATCAAGGGAGCTATTCCAGGTTCTTCTAAGTTAAGAACCTCCTCTTTAGACGATCAATTCAACAGGAGCATAGTTGGCAATTAATTCAACATGAGAAATGTAGATTTGGCGAAAGCTCTCTGAGCAATGCAAAACAATGAAGAATTATAATTCACTGAAATCCAAAAATCCCTACAAAAAGCTAATGTTCAATTTGCTTCCATTGGCTTATTTCTTCAACAAATCCATGCTTTCATGGATTTCATAAACAAGAGACTTGACAATTTGTGTATTGACTGTCCACATATATCACTCCATCAAGATACTTACTCTTCCGCTAGCATTCTTGGTTTCACCACCGAATCCCTTCTCCACAACCGCCACCTTCTCCGACAGGTTTATCTTTTATTACACATTATCTACTATTATCCAGTTTTATCTTAAACAATCTCAACATTTGTTTAAGCCATCACTAGGTTTACCCCAACGAAGTACCATTGATCATCTTATTCATATTCAATTCTTATCTCAACCAGTGAACATCCGTCCTTATCATTCTTCACATTTTCAAAAGGATGCTATGGAACAATTAGTTTCTAAAATGCTTCACTTCGGCATTATTTGTCATAATCTGGGCTCTTTTTTATTTCGGTATTGCTTGTTCCAAAATAGGATGGTACTTGACATTTTTGTATTAATTATAGAGCCTTTAATATACTCACCATTATAGATAAAATTCCTATTCCAATGGTACATGAATTTTAAAATAAATTTCATGGAGTTTTCTTTTCCAAACTCCTTTTTTTTTGGCCTCACAGCAGAGTAGGATACATCCTTAAAATATTCATAAAATTATTAATGACTGTCACTATGAATTTCTTCTTATGCCTTTTTCTCCTTCAACCTTTTTACAACTTTGTGGTCAAGTTTTGTTGCAATGGGATGCCACATGGGAAAATTTTGCAACTCTCTCTCTCTTTGTTTTTTTCTTCTCTTAACAATGAGCACAAGGTTGCTTTCCATGGTGATAGGAGTGTTAGATATCAATATATTCTATTGGTTCCAAAAATAGTACAATCAAACTGTGAAGCATGGTCTACAAACATGGCAAACCAACCTACAAGCATAAAAGAAGGAATCAAAACGTTTCACATTGATATTACAATAATAATATATCTTGGACAAATAAAATAGTTAAATAAATTGGTCTATGCATATTTAATAAGCACTAGTTTATTTATTTTATTTTATTTTTATTTTGTTTTAGGTAGACCGGTTCTATGTTGAACACTTGGTCTATTCAAGTAGTATAAATACCTCTTCTATTGTACTGAAAGATTCATGGAATAAAAGATTTTTGTTTTTTCCTCTCTAGTCTCTCTTATCTCCTTCTTCCTCTTCTTGATGTATAATATTTGTCATGTCTGTTGGGTTTGTTATGCACGGTTGAGCCATATATGTATATTTAATTATAGCCGATGACCGAGTCATTGTGCTGTGTGGATTTGTCACTCGTGGGAATGGGGTGTCTGGATCTTTGGCTATAAAAACTTCGTTGCACTTTGTCCATTAATTTAGGTTGTTGGCGTTGTTAGTTGTGGAAAGAGGCCTTACATTAAACAGTATCAAAGCAGCATATGTCATGGTGGGTACACTCCCTAGAGGGAGAAAATGACCATGGATAGATGATAATGATTGTCATATCTCTAGCAATCCATAGTCCAGGATTGCATCCTGGGTTGTGTATTCACAGCACTCATGTTTTTGACAGCAGATGGACCTGGCCATGAAACAGTGGTTTTCTTCTCCAACACTTGTATTTTTTGGATTTGGTATTTCTCATTCCTAAGAAAATAAACTATATAGTTCTATGTCTATATTGAGAAATTGAATCATGAATAAGCTACAACTGACCGTAAATTCAATGCTGTAAACCTTAGAGTGCATTTGGCAGATGAAACTAGTAGGTTCCTCCATTTATGCACCTTTTGAATATAGATATTTTAAACCTAATAATGACGAAGAAATGATTATCCTTGGTATATTTTGAATTTTGTTTTTTTATGATTCGGCTATATGTTTTTGTATTCCCTTTAATGCTTTTATCTTTGCAGTAGTTGTTAACTCCATTTGATTATAGGCGAAGTGATATTGCTGAAGATATTATATCCGAGTTCGAAGATGCTCCAGTAAATTTTAATGATAATGAAGAAGGAGCAAAGCTTTTTAGAATCCTTGAGAGTTCTGCCGAGACTGAAGTTTTAATGGCTGGAATGAGTTTGGAGCAACTGACTTCCTTCTCAAGTTATCAGGAAAAACAAGAGGTAGGCTTTATTTATTCCACTTGCCTAATTTTAGTAGCAATGTGAGTCGACAAAAAGCAGTTCTTGTTCAATCTCAGGCATTGAGACAAGCCGATTTGCATAAGAAGATTGAGAAAGCTTTAGAAGAAGCAGGTCTTGGTTCAAGAGATGTCACCCCTTTTATGAGGGTGAGAGTCATTGGCCTGACCCGTACAGACTCGTCCAAGAAGAGCAGGCCAAGGGAAGGCATGATAACAATCTGGAATCCTACTGAAAAGCAGGTAAATTCAGCTGATCGTTTTGTTCCTTTAGTAGAATCTAATACACCGACGAAAAAATTCCAGATGAAGGCACAATTTCTGTTAGATGACTTTTTTCATTTGTATTGCAACCAAAAAAAAAAAAAAAACTTTTTAAAAAAAAAAAAAAAAAACTTTATTTAGGCGGACGGGCATATTTGATTGGCATCATTTCACATTCTAGTTTAGAGTTGGATAGGTCATAGCTATGATGCACCGACACTTCTCCTCAAAGAGGCGTGCAATGTCCGACACCGTGTCCGACACGACACTCGTCCGACACGCCTCTGACACGTGTCGGACACGCCGAAAACGTGTCCGATTAAAAAAATATTAAAAATAAATTGGACACGCGTGTCCGACACGCATATCTTAAATATTTTATAATTTTTTTTAAAATATAATTTCTTATATTTTGCAAGATTTAAACTAAATTTCTTATTTCATATCCACAACACCAAATCAACGTCTGTATTTAATATCCATTCATCGAATATTTTCATTTTCATTTCTCTTTGGCAGTGAAGGTATTTTCATCTCCTCTCTTTTTGCATAATTATAAATCTTACTCTTATTGAACCAGAGTTGAAAGTAGTAATATTCAATGATGATGATATTGAAGACCAAAAACAAACCTCTAAAGCTAATCCTAATAGTTGAAGCTTGAATGCTTGATGTTGTAGTAAGTCTTATTTGCTTATATTTTTTTGGTTATACTAGATATTTTGTATTAAATATTTTATATTATAAGCTAGACAAGTTATCATGTCATTTATTTATTATTGTTTGTCATTTTTAATATGATATTACATTAATATATATACACTGTATAAAAAAATGTATTGCCGTGTCCGCGCCGTACCCGTGTCCTATATTTTCAAAAAAAACCGTGTCTCGTGTCCGTGTCGTGTCGTGTCCGTGTCGCCGTGTCCGTGTCCGTGCATCATAGGATCATAGCTATCTTTCTGCTTTTTGGTCTGGTTCTGAAGGGATGGTGTGTAAGGAATGCTTAGTGGACTGACTAGCCCTGGAAGTTAGACACAAACACACATGCACATGTGGATGCGTGCACACACCATACTACAATATTCAAACCTCAACCTAAAGAGAAGAGGATATTTTGTAGGGGCAAGGGTTGCTTAATATTGGACATTGAAAAAATTGTTTTATGGCCTGCAAATCTCTCTCCTACATTATTTACATAGTGTTGTTCACTTGAAGACAATACCAAAGCTTTTCGTGATTTTCAAACAGAAGCTTGAGCTGGTGGAAGGCCAAATATACTCTGTTTCATGGCTTGCACCATTTTGTGGCAGATCTGATTTCTTATACTTACAAAGTAGGGGACCTTCTTCGGAATGGGTTTGCTTACCTGCTGCAGACTCCGAGAAATATGAGTATGCAGTTCTAGCATTGTTCTTCTATCGGCTCAAAGGCTTGTACTTAGTCATATCTATGTAATGCAGATCATTCTTTATCCCTCGGAAATCAGTGTCATTGTCAAATTTGGGGGAGGTGCCACTAACAAGGTGGGTTTTAAGTATGTTGCTCATTTAATCTATTGGGCTTTCTTTTTATGCTCGGTTATTATTTTTTTTTATCCTATAGACCTTTCTTGACGCTGATTTTCATTTTTAGTGAATTTGATATATCAGCAGTTGTTGTGTATGTGGGGAAGGCCTACTTATCTGGTTGTCAGAGAAAACAATGGATTTTTGTGACAGATGGATCTGAATGCATCTGCAACTCATTCACTGAAGATGAACATGACAGTCTCCTAGCTATTAGCTTCTGCTCGCCCATCTTGGACAATGATTCACTTGCACCGATCAACCAATGCCTTTCAGGAAACGCTGTATGTAAATTGCTCTACAAGTGGAAAATAAGTTTCCAATTAAATTTTCTATAGTTGCTCCAGTATAATTGAAGAATCCTAGTAGTTTTTAATACTTTGTAGCGTAAGTACTTGCAATCGTAAGTCGTAATAAAATAAAATATGGAATATTAGTAGCCTCTTCAACAATTTATGTAGTTATCTTTTCATAGTGATTGAACTGGGAAAATGTATAGTTTTTTTTTTCTCAGCAATTGTGATATGGGGTTAGGGCTTCGACAGGTTGGCTTCTGTAATCTAATCAAGCGGGCAAGAGACCGAAATAACGATCTATGGGTGGCTGAGGCAACAGAGAATTCTACATATTCCATTAACTGCAATATATCCGGTGGGTCGCATCTCAAAGGAGCTGCAGATTCAGCTTTGAAATGGGCAAAAACATCGTCTATGGTGGGAAAAATAACTTTAGAAAACAGAAACTATTTATTTGCTGATTTTACTCTTTCTTATTCTTTCTCCTCTCTTTCTTACCTTTGTCCAAACCAGGCACTTAAAAAACTGGAGGAGAAGGTTTTAAGTATCACTGGTGATCATGGAGTCTAAGACCGTACGACTGCTTTGCATTAGATAGTCATTGATCGGGTAAGATCTTGATATTTATTTGTTTTCCTCCAATAATTGCTTGAAGCTATATCTCAAATTTTTGTCTGAACAAAACATGTTTTGCAGTATTTCTTCTTCTTTATTTGGTCAACTTAATGTTTTTGCTGGTTCTTGTAACCAGATAATCATCCGTCAGAATTTTGTTGGGATTACCAATGGAAAAAATCCAGCTGTAAAATCCATGAGTATTTCATAGTTTTTCTGAAACAATCATCAATTTGACTGCGGAGATCTATTAATCCGATTGTATTTACAAAAGTTCATATTTATACATATTGAAATTTTTACAAAATTCAATTTCCTACTAACTGATTTCCTTATATAGAAATCGACTTTACATTAGAGTGGATTGAGATCGTACATGTTACTGAGCACAGGTCATTGAGCAAAATAATTTTGTTTGACATTTGTTTATATTGATCATATCTTAATAAAATATGAGTTTTTTTTTTTCATTTTAGAACATTAACATTTTAATTTTTTTATTGATTTTATTGAAATTTTCTTTTTAGTAATCAGTTTTAATGAATTTCAATAAAAAAATTCCATAAATCAATATAAAAATATAAAAACTTTTAAATTTTCATATTTTGAAATATGAAGATAAACTTAAGGTTTTTTTAAAGGATTCAGATGGATTTCAAAATTAGCAGCAGGGATCCAATGTATTATGAAAAAGAGTGATTACATCAAAATATTCTATGCATTCAATAAAATGTGCCAAACTATTTGATGCATTGCATTGAATGTGTTAATTGTTCAAGCATGTTCAAGTCGTAGGTGATTTTGTTTCTTAGAATTGTGTTGCTTGCAGTCAAAATTTAATATACATATAATTTGAAATTAAAAATTAAAAGATTATAATAAATTATATATATATATATATATATATATATACACACACGTTGAAATAATAAATTTGCAATCAAGATCAAGGTTGTGTGTGAAAATTAGATTGGATAATGAATTGGAAAAATGAGAGGTTTATAGTTTAATTTGTTCTACACGGCCGAACCGAAGTTGAATTGAATGATGTAATAAATAATAGTATTATTAAAAATGATTAAAATTAACATAATAATATGGCTATTTAATTTTGATTTTTGTAAATATTAGAATTAATTTTAATGCATTTGATTGATTTTAACAAAACACATGTAATTTCAATCCATACAAAATCCAAATTCAATAAATGAGCATATATGTGAAAAGGTTGGAGTAACTCTAGTGGAAGATAAGATTAGAGAGCCGCCTTAGATGGTTTGACAACATTAAACAGAGGCTTTTTGATAACCTTGTTAGGAAAGTTTAGGTATTAGATTTGACTTATGTTAAGAAAGGTAGATGTAGACCTAAAAAGACTTGATTAGAACATATTAGAAATGATATTTCTTATTAGATTTAAATGAGGATTTGACTTTTAACATGACATAATGTCGAAAAAGGATTCATGTAGTCGATCCCACATAGTACGACAAAGGCTTGTTGTTGTTGTACAAAATTCAAATTCAGTAAATCAGAATATCAATTTCAGCAATGTTATATTAATATTTTTCAAACAAGAATGACAAATATATTTAAGAATATTAAAAACAATTTTACATACACAAATAAACTTAAACACATGATTTAAAATCACCAAGCCTAAATGACATATCTTGCGGTTTCAGGTTTTCTCACAAAGTGGTCCGGCCATCTCGTGGCTATCAGTTCCCGCACAGAATAGCCAACTCAACTAATTCGTTATTATCACATTGTATTGAAGGAGGAATGCATACCTCAGTTCGATGTGTAGCAACAATTCGTAGAGCTGAAATTTTATATCACTTGACTCTATATCTAACATCTTCCTATTTGTAGAAGAAATAAGCAAGACACGGCACAAACTAAAACAAAGCCGCTGTGATAAAAAATTCGAAAACTAAATCAATTTTAATTTATTTTGTTTTTGTTTTCTTGACCTAATAGAGATCACAAACTCAAACATTAAAAAATAAAAAGATTAAAAAAAAAACCTAAAAAAATTTAGATTTCTAAAGAACTTACATAACTCGATTTGGTTGCTTAAGTGTAAAGCCGGAGAGAAATAATGCCTTTGACCTTTGTCATGATTGAGTTCGTCGATGAAGAGGGATGCCTTTGACCTTCATTACATTTTATAAAAATCTAAGATTTTAGGGTTTAAAAAACTTACATCCTATAGTTAATAGCAGGAGAAGCAATGATGATGCGCTATATGACCAGGATGATGTCATCATCAAGTTCGCGAACGGTCCGGAGGATGATGCCGGAGAAGAACAGGACATTAGCAAGCAAAATAAATTATGGTCTGGAGGGAATTGAACGTTATTAGATTATTTTCTGCATTTACTCATTAACCGTTGGATCCAAAATCAATGTCTCACATCCCCTTTTTTTTAATCGGGTGGTTCTTTAGAATCGGCATCGGTTCACGGTTCGCTAGTCCGACCAACCGGTCGGATGGTTTTTGTCCAGTTTGATTTGAAACCCCTTATAAGGGCTAATAGAATTGATCAGTTCACGATTCCATTGGTTGAACGTGTTGGTCTGATCTGATTTTTAAAACCATGATTAAGATTTTTTATTATAATTTTGTCCTATCTAATTTAGTTATAATTTTCTATTAATTTGCTGATTAAAGTTTATTTTTATAATATTGACCTATATATAAATTTCTATTACTTTTTATTTGCAGTCAAAGAAAGTGGGGATGATTTATAAGAAACTCATTCATGAATGAGAATTTTTTTTTTGCAATCTATTGACAACTTTTATTGATGTAGTGTTTGGCAGTCTTTGTCTCCCTCAGGCAGGAGTTCAATTTGGGTGGTTGTGATCTGTGAAATCTCTCAGCATAATATACCCTATCTGTGATATATATTAATATATTTTCTACTTAGACGGTACTATTGGATTCTTCCATTACTATTGCAAGATTGATGTTTGAAGGCCTCATTAAACAGTATGCTATTACTAATAGAAAATTGTCCTGACATTAGGCCTATTAAGTGCAGTGGTCATCAAGTTTGCAGGCGCCACAATTAGGCAAAATTGTGAAAATGAGCGAGATTAATATATAATTAAACAAAAGGAGCCTAATTACTAAATATTTAGGAAAAAGAGCTATTAAAAATCATAAACTAATAAGGAATGAACATACAATCATACAAACATGAGAGATGCAAAATAGATGTTCATACACAAAAAATAACTAGTTTGGGATTAAGACAGTTTAAACTAATTTCAGCTTTTTGCTTGTTCCTTAAGCAAGCATAGGGGTGCGATTGTTTTTTGTTTGTTGTTGTTTGTGGAGTTGCACATTCAGGGAGTTTTTTTTTTTTTGTTCTATTGGCAAACACATGGTCGAGTAGATATTATATCGTGACACACATAATCAGATAGGACCCTCTTTCCTTTGTTCTACTATCAAACCTATGGGCGGGTAATGACTCCGCTGACAGGCTTATGGATGAGTGGAGGTGATTCATTTCCTCTTCACTTTACCGTTAAACGTATGGACAGGTGATTGTTGAGTGTTCCCTTTATTCTACCGTTGGACTTATGGTTGGATAGAGACAGCTGTTTCGTGACTTGTGGCCTGGTGAAGGTGGTTCCCTTTCTCTTCACTGCACCGTTAGATCCATAGTAGGGTGATTGTTGAGATTTACCTTTGTTCTACCATCAGACTTATGGTCGGGTAGAGACTTTGTTGTTTCTTGGCCTATAGCTGGGTGGAGGTGACTTTTTTCCTCTTTACTTCACCATTAGACCTATGATCGGGTGGATATCAAGCATTCATGTTAGTTTCTTTATAGTATCCTATGGGGTATACTGCACCAGCTCTTCACTCCCATCTTTTTATTTCTTGTTCAGGGGGTTGAGTTTTTTCTTTATTCTACAAGCAGACTTATGGCCGGGTAGAAACTCTGTTGTTTCGTGGCCTATCACTAGCGGAGGTAATATTTTCCCCATTATTTCATCATCAGACATATGGTCGGGTGATTGCTGATTTTTCCTTTGTTATATCGTTAGACCTATATCAGGTATAGACTCTATTGTTTCATGGCCTGTGGCTGATGTGACTCCTTTCCTCTTCACTTCACTGTCAGACCTATGGTTAGGTGATTATTGAGTGTTCCTTTATTCTACTGTCAGTCCTATGATCGAGTAGAGACTATGTTATCAAGATTATGGCTGAGCAGAGATGATGCACCTTCTCTTCACTTCACCATCAGACCTATGGTTAGGTAATTATTGTGTGTTCATCTATCCTACCATCAGAACCTATCCGAGCAAAGATGATTCCTTCCCTCTTCACTTCATTACTACACTTATGGTAAGGCGATTGTTGAGTGTTCATTTATCTTACCTTCATACCTATAATCAGATAGGGACTCCTTGTCAAGCTTATGGCCGAGGAAAGGTGACTCCTGTTCTCTTCACTTCACCGTCAAACATATGGTCGGGTGATTGCTGAGTGCTCCTTTGTTCTACCGTCAGACATATGGTTAGGTGGAGACTCTACTTTTAGGCTTATGGCCTAGCGGATGTGACTCCCTTTATGTCATTCTTTATTGTTAGACCTATGAACGGGTAATTCTTGAGTTTTTTTTATTTTATCTCCAGGTCTATGACCGGGTAGACATTGAGTTTTCATTATCCTTTTGTTCACTTTCAGACTTATGATTGGGTAGCTGTTGGATTGTATTTTTCTAAGGATAAGGAGGTCAATGCCAACATCTGCGGTTCCCTCGTGGTACACTATGCCTGTTGAGGGTCCATTTGTTGACCTCGTTTTGATCTCATTCATAAATTTTAAGCTGATGTTCCTCAGTGTAATGAGTTCAATATATGGGTAAGTCATCTTGACCAAGTTGACAGGTCCAAGTGATCAAACTTATTAAAAATATTAAAAATATTCTAAAAAGTTGAAGTTGGTCAAATCTCATGCATGCATGTCATATGACTTCTAGGGACTCCTCATGGTCTATTCTAGTCATCTTGGCCAACTTTGACCAGTCAAAGTGGTAAACATATTTAAAATTTTCAAAAAAATATCCATAAGGGCAAAATTATGAAAATGCTTGGATTGATCTCCCAACCATAGACCAATAGATTTCAACTCCAAACCACTCTAGAACCTTCCTAAAGCATCTCAAACCCAAGCTTAACCCTTGGTTCAACCCAAACCTAACCCAAATGGTCCCCTCTTCATGAAATGCCAAAATGGACTTTCTGCTTAGGATTCTCCTTACTTGGCCAAAGTTTCCC